TCCCAATTAAAAGTAAATTTTTTAACTCTAACTCGTAAGTATAGAGTTAATAAGTTAATTTTTACTTATATCACATAGATAACTTTACTAAGCACATAGATTTCTTCTTAAGACTGTCAAAACATCTGCATTTTGACAGCCTTAAACTGTCTCATACTTTTTCTTTTGGAAATTACAATAAAAAATTCTTCATTATTAAACATTATAATAAATTACTTAGAATAAAAAAAGCCAGCATATTCAGACTTTTATCAGAAAGCCAGCATGAACATGAATATGCTGGCAGCATACATGCTAGCTTTCTGATAAAAGTTTTAATGTCTCTTAGAGTATTATTAGTTTTTAAATTCAAACTTACCTAACATTGGCATTATTATACAATGACATAATTTCAATAGTAACATGTTATACAGTAAAATACAATTCATATGGAATTCATCATATATATATATAATTAGCCTATTTTCTATAATAATATTACTTAAAGTATATTAAATTTCATATTATAACATGAGAGTGTGCTATCTAATTCATAATAAATTATTCAGTATCTTGGGAAAATATATTAGATATTCTTCCAATATTTTTTCTTTTGATAGATGCAGAGCCGTAACTAGGCAGGTGCAACAGGTGCACCCGCACAGGGCCCACTCAAAAGGAGGGCCCAAACTGCCGTTCACAAGAAATTATATTTTTAAATTTTAAATTTTTCCGCCTTTCTACAGCGGGGTTTGGCGATTACATTTCGCCTTACTTAGACTCTAGATGTCCGCTCACCGGTGTTCCCTACTGCGGCGACTTTTAAAGGGACGTAGTGAGGTAGCGGAGACCTCAGACAAATCAGCCAAAAGTAGCGAATTTTGATATTTTTTAATTTATTTTTTGAGAAATTTATGTTCATAGTTTTCAAATTTACAGATTTTTCTTTCCTTTATAGAGCTCTCTGGCAACTACTATTATTATTACGATATACAAAACTGTATTTCTAGATTTTTCTACAGTGTGCGGAGCTAGAAATCCGTTAAGGTAACGTTTTGTAACAAAAATAAATCTGTCCGAGGATTTTTTTAAAATTACTAAATTGAAAACGGTAACTCCCGAATAAAATCTTAGTCTCGAGGTTGTAAAAGGCGTGCAGAAATTCTGACATCATTTTTTGCTTTATAGTGGTAC